AACTATAGATCTGAGCTAAATAATGCCTCTTAATTCATAAAGTTTATGACTTTAAGCCTTTGCAAGGCTAGTCAAGACCCAAACCCAAAAAACTCTAACTTTCTCAATACAAAAGACCATACCACTCATGCATGGAGAGATCTAGACGTCCAAGCACCCATTTTATGGATCAAGACACTTTAATGCACCTAAAAGGACAGAAGAATATCTCTGGAGTTCATCAAACTCACAAATTTCCATACTTGGGACATAAAACCCTAAAAAGGACCCAAAGCAAGAACTAGAACAAACAATGAACAAGTTTTAAACTTGATACCTTTGGAAGATGCACCAACTGAAGAAGAACTCAGATCCAAGAGCTTGAAACACCAACTATCATTCCCTCAAGGCTTTTTCTTCACCAAAAGCTTCACAAGGACACTTAACAGAGAGTTATAAACACCCACACAAGCTAGAGGAACGAGATTAGGGTTTAGGGGAGGTTGGAGGCTGATAATGGTGGCTAGAAATGAGGCCATCATGTTCCTTAAATAGGGACACATGAAAATATTAGGGTTTCTCACTGAGCCTGGTACGTCCAACATACTAGGTGGCCTTCGCGACAATGTTAAGTGCATGAGTACGCTGCGCGTACCCATGCATATGTCTCGCGTACTCAAATGTCACCTTTTACATAACAAGGACTAATCTTGATATATAATAAAAAGGTTAAGGTTCGAGAAGTTATACCACATTCTGGGATGCTACAATTACCCCCCACTAGAATTAGACTTCGCCCTCAAAGTCATCCCCCGAAAATAGCTCTGGATACTACTTACGCATCTCAGACTCCGGCTCCCAAGTCCACTCCAAACCTCTACAGTGCTGCCACCGAACCTTGACCAAGTCCACTACATTGTTCCTCAAGGCATTCACTCTCATATCCAAGATTGCCACCAGCCTCTCAATATAATTAAGGCGATCATCAACTTGAATGGCCTCTAAAGGAACCACAACCGTCTCATCGGCTACACACTTCCTCAGTTGGGATACATGGAAGGTGTCATGAATCTGACTCAACTCTTCAGGCAGCTCTGATCGATAACTACCTTTCCCACTCCAGCAACCGCCCTAAAAGGACCAGTGAATTTGGGGACCAACTTGCCCCGCTTCCTGAATCGGATCGTAACCTTCCATGGTGATACCTTAAGGAGAATAAAGTCACCGACCTAAAATTTTCATATAAAAGCTCTTTGTCCTCCCCCCTCCCCCCCCCCCCCAAATAGATAGGAGTCTGACACCTCCTCCTATATAAAAGCTCAAGGGGGGATCCCAATGCTGGAGTAGTGGCTATTGTTATCGATTTGGAAGGAGAACGAATCATTTCCTAATAAGGGATGTGGATACCATCCTTGACACAACGTGTTTTAAAGTCGTAAGGGCAGTAGATCACATAAGAACTCTGCAGTTAATCCAGTGATGGGTGACCTCCTGGTAAGTTTTCGCATTGGGAGACCAAACTGGACAATATTGTGATACATGCCAGAGGGGGACGTTACAAATGGTATCAGAGCTAGGGCATCGGTCGATGTGTTCGACAGGGACGTCGAATCCTATAAGAAGGGGTGAAGGTAAGTTGCACCTGATCCCACATCAGCTTGGAAGGAGAACAAAACATTTCCTTATAAGAGATGTAGATACCATCCTTGACACAACGAGTTTTAAAGTTGTGAGGACAGCAGATCCCATAAGAACTATGCAGTTAAACGTGCTCGGGCTAGAACAATCCAGGGATGGGTGACCCACGGGGAAGTTTTCGCGTCGGGAGCCCAAAGCGGTCAATATTGTGATACGTGCCAGAGGGGGATGTTACACGGATCGTGAAAAAAAATCCCTAGCTTGATACCATGTTGAATTATGAAAATATCCGTTAGGGTTTTTGTATTATTCCATTGCTTTAAATAGTACAACTCGTATATTGTTAATTTACATAAAGAACCCCAATCTATCAACGATATGATAATCCTACACTAAACATATGTATAACTTAACATGTTTAATTAAGAAACCCCATGCTTTTCTAATCTAATTTTGTCACTCACTTTAAGCATTGGTTTCAAGTTTTGTATAGAGTATAGTAAGCCATTAGGCGGAGCTAAATGGGAGCCCGTGGTAGCCCGGGCTACCCCTCAATCTCGTCTAGTAGTATATATTCTTCTGTAATTTTATATTTACGTTGCCATCTTTGAAAATTTTATGGGCTACTCTAACTTACAAATCCAAACATAAAATTGCTAAAACCAGTGGCGGATGGTTAAGATGATGTTTCTTAAAAATAGGAAAAACAATTCAATCTCTCATTAATATGAAAAAAGAAGGATCGGAGATTTGGAGTTGTACAAAATAAATTAAAAATATCATAGTAAAATCAAAGAGGTTAGGAAAGAAGTTGCAGAAAATCGAAAACAAAAAACAAAATCCAGATGGGGGAATTTAGTCACTAGTGGCGGTTGCGACACATAACGCCGCCTTGTCTTGTCCTTACAATTGTCATCCCACCTTCTCTCACAGTTAGATTGTCTGGTTGTCGCTCAACCTCTTACCTCTTTTGCAATTTTCTTCTCTCGTTCACTCGTCGTTACTTTGAGAGAATGAAATTCTACCACTCGTTTTCTTCTTGGCGTTTGGGTAAAAGTTCAAATAGGTACGTCTTCTTTTGGGGTAAAGATTGAAATGGTAACCATATCATAAGTGATGATGATTACACCGAATTAATAATTGTGTTGTATTATAGATTCATAGACATTACTATGCTTTTGTTACATATGTAAATGTATATTTAGTAGCATACCTATACAAGACTACGATTTAATCAATTGACTTGTTAATATTTTTAATAAATTAATAAATTATTACATATTTGTGATATAGTTATTTTGTATCTTCAATATTAATATTATGGAGAGAACAATCATCTACTTCAATACTCAAAATGATATAGTTTTAGTATATTTGTTAATTTGCTTAGTTTTCTATATATTTATTAGTTAATAAATGATTGATAATAATGTTGTTTATTATTTAATCAAATTATTATATAATTGTGATATAATGTTTATATAAAATTTTCGTTTTTGAAATTTTACTTATAATGTTTGTGTTATGTCCTGGCCCAAACTAAATGTATAAAGGAGCCAAAAATACATGTTGATACTTTGAACTAAATGTATAAAAGTAGCCAAAAATACATGTTGATACTTCAAAGTTTTAAAAAAATATTTAATTTCAAATTAATAAAAAGATAAAACAAGCTTAAATGTCAAATCCAATGAAGGAAAGCAACAAATATTATAGAAAAAAATCTCTACTGTGTCAGTCTTGCACCGGCCTCTTCCATTGTCGACGTAGTTTTTTTTTTCTAAATTATATATTAAGAAGATTTTTTTTGTGCTGCTTCTGGATTTTGGTTCCGGCTCCGCCACTAAAGTAAGCAGATGAGCTACGGATGTTGATGTTGCTACTGGTTTTTAGCCTCAATTTCTAACATGCCATCAGATGTTACATAGAGTGGCCTACGTTTTGTTCATGATACATTATTCGATGGCTTGACAAGAAGGATAATGGGTTAGCACACGTAAAACACTATATGAGTGGTAAGGATTTTCAACAAAAAAGAGAAAACCAAAGTTGAAGAGGCTTTCTAAAGGGTCTTTTTAGATGGTGGGTATAGAAGGAAAGTAGTAGAAAGCCTGCAACACATTACCAGATCGGAGTTGAGATTTTAAAATCCCACAAAAAACATAATTTTAACTTATAAGTTCAAAACATGAAAAATATGTCAAATATTAAGTTTTTCCTTTTAAAACCTATAAAAACTTCTAAACATTAGTCACAACAAAAAAAGATAAACAGTAAATCCGTAAAGAGTAAAACTCGTAAAGTGGTGAATTCAAACTTTTATAATTTTTTTTATTTTGATTATTTTTTATTAAAAAAAACAATTGTAGGGGGGGGGGGGGGGGGGGGGGGTTCGGATCGGATCCCGATTCTACGATTACGATGATATCTACGATTCTATGATCTTACATGTGATCCTACCCTAAGATATGATCCATATAGTTTTTCACACCTAGGATTATAGGATCAATGATCCTTCGATCAAGATCATGATTTTAACAACTTGCTTCAAAGCATTAAAAGATCATGTTGAAGTCTTAAACTCTCAAGTCTCAACTATGTATTTTACCAAAATTGATGGCGACTATCTGAATTAAAAGCCAAATAATAAATGTACAATCTTCTCCCTCCATGTACATGTGTTTCCTTGCACATATTATATGATATATAAATCACGAGATATATAGTGTTACTATGACAAACAAATGATAAAATAGGCAATCTGGAAAGTAGAAGATGGTGCTGTATGACTAATTGATCATCTTTATTTTATGCTTCACTGTTAAGCATAGAGAAAGAGACTTTAAACTTTACAAGTATTATCCTATCTCACCTATATATCCTTTAATGAAAACAGATGTTGTAATACTATTGGATGCTATTTAATTATCTTTGTTATTTAGTATGTTAGACATTCCATTCATCCATTGGTTGTCAATTACGTTTGACTATATTACCTCGTGACGACAAATTATCGAATAAACTCATCATTATCATCAAAACTATAAGAATAACCTAGTGTTATCTATAAATAAAATAGGGTGTTGCTAATAAGACACCCCTTGGACACCCTATTGACCACTTTTTAAAAAGTCAACCAATAATTAACTGTTTATAATCAGTTTTTCGGAAAACAATACAATTTCAGCCAATAAAAATATTTAAAAAATTAACTAGGGTGTCCATATTGCAATATATGGTGTCTTTTTAGCCAACCCCATAAAATATTGTAATTTTGATGAAGGAACTGGGCCCACCAAGCCTAACTATGATTGATTAAGACAGCTTGCCTTTGACAAAATCAAAGGAACGATCGACAACCACAATCATCATGTCTTTATCAAATGTTTGGTGGTATTATGACGCTTAACAACTCTTTAACTAGTTCATAGTATTCTCCTACCATCTTTAGTTTCTTCTTAATCTTCTAATCCTCAAGTGGAAAAGATTGATCGATGGGTAATAGTTTGCTTGATGAAGAGTGTGATTACTTGTTTAAAATGGTTTTGATAGGGGATTCAGCCGTAGGGAAATCAAATCTTCTGTCAAGATTTGCTAAAGATGAGTTTCATCTTGATTCTAAGCCAACAATCGGGGTTGAATTTGCTTATCGGAATATTAAGGTTGGAGATAAGTTGGCCAAAGCACAAATATGGGACACTGCTGGGCAAGAAAGGTGCATATGATCACTTTCCTAATTTCTTGCTTTTCTAAATTTAGTTTAAACATCAAAGCGATATAATACATCTTATAATACATATGCAGTAGATCATTATAGCAATACATATGATAGTAGATTTAATGAAGAATTTTTTAGTTTAGTGATCTTTATAAATATTTGCAAACTTTTAAAAGAATCCATATCTCGTGGAGCCTGATTATATAATAAACAAGAAAATTTGTGAGATTCGGAATATAGTAAAAAACTTGTTAAATATGCTCCGAAAACTGTCGCTAAAAAGTGTTGCATGTGTCAAAGCCTCCTTGCTTCTTAAGGTTGCGTTCTTTACGACAAATTAGAGCCTAGAGGTTAGAGTTTTATTAGGACTCATAGAATAATATATATAGGACTCTTACATTATTGTTTTAATTAGGACTAGGATCAGTAGTTTTGTGTGTTTGACGTTTTAACTTTTTTTATTTTTTTATATATATTTTTTATTTTATCTATGTCTTACCATTCACAATTGTCGATCGAGAACCTTTGTAACCCTGCATCACAAGAATTAACATAATTTTTTTTCTTCGATTCTTGGTTTTCCACTTTATATATTGGTGTTCATTGTGATTGTGATTTATGTTTCTTATCATATGACAAGTTGTGTTCTACTTCAAGTCTTCAACGTTATTAAGTTGTTTGTATGTGGTTGTTCAGCATTGATAATTTTTATACCAAGTAGTATCAAACTGTTTAATATACATCTGTTTAGAAAATGTTGCCAATATATATACCTCAACCACATATATTATTTCTTGCTTTCTCTTCCTCCCCCTTCACTTTTCTTAATGGACAATCCACTATGGCATGATGTGAAGGCATCATTGTTGTACTCGCCTTGAGGTGGTAGTATGAAATGTTGCCGATATATATACCGATAAACCTAAGAGCTTATAGGTTACCTTTTACCTAACATTATTAATTCTAAGCTTTATCAGCTAGTTTGCAAATAAGACGTAAACCTATGACAACCTCTTTAATTGGTTTTTGTTAAAGCCTTATTCTAGTTTTTCCTAGAGATGCTGAAAGCTAACCAGTTTTTGAAATCGGCCCAATAAAATCCAACCGCTTTTTGATAATTAATTTTGTATTGGTTCAACTAAAGCCAAACCGCAATATACGTTTAAAAAAATCAAAAACTGATTTTTTTTCTTGTTTTTCTATAAACAAAATAAATCAATTTTTAAATTTAAAAAAATAATATTTTAATCAAATTTCACTTAAAAAATGAAAAATAATTGAAATCGGTTTAAAGAAAACTTTTTTTTTTTTTTAAATCAATTTCTTTTAAAACCGGAATTTGTGCATCTCACCAAAAGTTGTTATTTCTTGGACCATTAATCTACACTTTAAGTTGTTTTTCTTGGCCCAATAGCTTGCTCTATTTTTCCAATCTAATAAATCAACTATTCAACTTTTACATATTGGTTTTCCAGGCACCATAATCTTTTTATGCCAGCCCAATAGATTGAATTTTCTAATACTATTCTCCTAGCACATGATAAATTTTTATCCAGCCGATAAAATCAATTTCTTCCCAACCATAAAATGCTCTTATAATTGTTTTGTTTAAACGTCTTTTACGGGCCACTAATTGATTTTCCAATAAAGGCGGTGGATTTTATTATTGTTTTCACAGGATTTTGAATTTTACAATTGATTTGGATTTCATAGATTTTCTATGTTTAGGTAGTAGTATCTAAAATTAGAGAAACTCTTTCTTTTATAAAATTTTATTTGGATACGTTTATGAGATTTTTTAATATGTGATTTAAGGGCATATAAGAAGTATTAATTAATGACAAATATTACTATAATTAAATATAAAATGCATTAATTATAAAGAATATTACCTTAATTAAATGTGACATGCATTAATAATCTCCATAATAAATGTATTTTGAATTTAATTATGGTAATATTTTTCATAATTAATATTTCTTATATGTGCCCTTATATGTACCCTTAGAGTACATATTAGAAAATCCCTAAGTTTATAATGCATTTAAACGAAAAGGACAAAATTACCATGTTTTTCTTGATTGTTAATTAACACTATTAAATCTCTTAAACTCTAACACCCAAAAGACCATGAAACGGAGTCATGAAGCTCAAACACAAGTTTAAATCCTACAAATGACAAAAAGGGACATGACATGAAAATCAATATAAAATCAACGAAACAAATTATTTTGGGTAAAATATTTCAACTTGGATTGATACGACATGATACGAAAATTAAACGGATAAGATTTGGGTTGAAATTTTCAACTCGAAAAGTTTATTTTATATGTAAGTTTTTTGATCTCTTTAAACAAACTAGAAATACCCACAGCCAATACCAAAAGTAAATGTAAACCTTGGGTTGGGTCGTTTTGTAACGTGAAACAACTTATTCATTTAATCAGACTTTATTTTCAGTTTTTCTGTTATTTCTCAAACTACATAGTTCCCTCCATTACCCCCGCTTCTCAAGATCCCGCCCTCCACCTCCCAATTCATACTTTTTCAAAATTTTCATCTAAACTTACTATGTTTTTAGTTATTCCGCCTCCTAACTATCGATGTTTTTTTTTTTGAAATATACAAAAGTCTCAGACAACCTATTGATGTTTTAGTGTAACTGCTTCATTTTATGTAATGAGGTTTATACATGTTTCAAAAGGGATTATATCTTAGTTTTAATACAAGCTCAAAGGTGCGGAGTGCACACTTGTATTAGTCTAGATTGATCATGGTATGACCAAATGGGGGTGGGGGAGGGGGTGTCAAGGGGGGTGAGTGCACACTTGTACTAGTCTAGATTGATCCCTGTACCACCGAAAGGACAGGGGGTCAAGGGGGTTGGGCCCCCTTATAAGGTTCCAATATAATTATCTATGATTATTAACCCATAGTTGCCTTACCCAAATGAAGATTTATTGGATCAGAAACATGTTTTTTTTAGATATATGGAATTCTTCACATTAAGCTCTCTCTGGTTATTGATCGATCTTCTGTGCCTAGAACATCGATCGTTCCTTTAATGATTATCCTATGTCGAATTTCTCGTAACCCAGGCATAAGGGAGAAATATTGATTCAAAAAGTGAATGGACACAATCCTTGAAGTAATCCGATGATCATCATATTCCGTTTCAACCCCAATTTCTAGCACCACCTATTACCTTTTTCTTTCCACTTACTCAATTAATACTCTTTTAACATGTTTATTATTTCAACTTCACATGCCATAACAGATTTCAAGGTATAACCCTACCCAGAAACCCATAACGAACTCCACATAAAACTAAACGGGTTGACATGACACGACACGTTAGTTAAATGAGTCGTGTTAGGTTCCAGATGTATCAACTCATTTAATGTTTTGACATGACACAACACGTTTTCCAAGTCTAGTAAATCCCCACCCAAGTTTATATGTAGTTGGATGACACTTGAGTGGTGAGGGATATGGGCAACAATGAGTAAGCAACAACAAAAGGAAAAAAGGAGAAATTGAAGGGGAAAAGGTTAGGGTGTATTTCTGTGAAGGAAAGAAACAATCTTGAGATAGTGGTGGCTGGAGGTGGGGTCGATGGTGTTCAGAAATTAACAAAAAAAAAAGTGATTTTTTTGGATTAGAGAAAGAATGATAATTTTTTATTTTTTGTAACCCTAAAATTTTAACCAATTGGATTTCAAAAACCTAGGAGGTTCGGAAATTTTATAAATGTTATGAGAAAATATTTTTTTATTAACACAAAGAATATATAAAGTGTTCAAGTTTTGACCCAAACATTGCATTCCATAGATTTTCAAATCAAAATCCGTTTAAACCCCTTTAAAACATTCCAACCAAATGCACTCTAATGGTTTTCTTTTCTAGCCTTATAATCGTTTTTACCTAGGGTTATTTTACCACCATTAATTTTTTATGTGATGGCTATTTATGTAACATCCCCAAATTTCAAGACCAATAATTTTATTTTAGACATGTTACATATAAAACAATTTACTGAAAAACATCATCGATATCATATCAATCCAAGATCTCATAATTCAAATGTCATAAAACATGTCGTGGAATATTAATTACATCAAATTACAATCCCAAGAGTATCATAGTGTGGAAATCCTGTGTATGTGATGTGCAGCTATCGCGTCGGCTCCTTCCCATTCGCTGAAGAGGTACCTGAAACAAAACTGAAAACTATAAGCACGAAGCTGAGTGAGTTCCCCCACCATACCACATAACGTACATACTGTCGAAAAATTCTAGGGTGTCCGACCTAACCTATTCGGCTATTTTGGGGGCGCAGACCTACCCTGTCTGATAATTATGGGGTGCCAACCTACCCTGTCTGACAATTATGGGGTGCCGACCTTCCCTTCGGTTTATCCAACTGGCTACATGAACTATTTCACCCCTACTACTACCACATAATAATATAGCATAGACATACTGTCAGACATATCTGGGGTGCCCGACCTACCCTGTGGTCCTTACGACCGTAACTCGGGGACTATTCCCCTACTGCCTACTATCACATAACATTGTAGCACATAATTAGGACGAGTAACTGACATATTTCCGGATGTTAGCCCTCAACAGGTCGTGATAGCGGGTTTTCCGCATCTCCTCATCCCCTGCATACTGAGGCACCAATAAGGCCCTCTCCTGGAACTTGGCGGTAATTTTCGCCACCATCTCTATCGTCTGCCTCATATCTAGAAACTCCTTGGCCAGTTGCTGAAGATCCACAACGGGTGCGAACTCAACCCTAAATCGGGCCACAAAGTCTGACCAAGTCATAGCCTCAATGGCCGAGGCTCCCAAGGAATCACCAACCGACTCCCACTAATCTCTGGCTTTGTTTTTCAAACATCCTGCAACATACCGAACCTTCGACCCCTCCGAGTAGAAGCTTGTCAACTGGGCAGACTCCATGTTTGCAATCCATCGTCTAACAATAATGG